AAACAAAGTATTCAGCCAGTTTTTGGCGGTGTAAATAAATAAATAAAAATAAATAAAAATGTTCCCAATGTCAACATGTTATCCATTTACCGTGCATTGGAATTTCGTTGAAAACGTCCGAAATTTCTTCCCCGAATATCCGAATTCTGTGCCAAAAATGTGTTACTGAACTAATTGGCGCGCAAATGACGTCAGAGATGAACATGTCATTCAGCTCCGATGTAAAGTCAACACCGAAAGCCACCATGAAAACAGTAATGCACGAAGTGAAAATGCTCCGAAATCTGATTGAGGCCAATGGCGTAAAATTGGATTCAATTGAAAGAAAAAGCCCGATCCAAGGTGATATTGTCAATTGCACCGAAAAAGTCACCGAAAAAATAGCAACCCCATTGATTTAGTCTATAAACATTTTAACACAAAATAACATAACCAACACATGAAAATGAGTAGGAAGCCGAAATGTAAACGGTTCAAAAACGGGTTTTGCCATGAAAATCAGGGTGAATCCGGATTTATCCAGGCGATCTGGAAGGCTTAATATCACAGCCGACGACAGCAAGCGCGAGTGACGAAAGCACCTCTGTACTGAAAGCGACACTGCGCTTTCTTGACAGTTCTCATATAAATGGGCCCAGAAGCGCCAACTGGTGCAAGAACATGTTATACAACCGTTGTATACCAATAGTCTTCAAAAGCTTACACGTTGGGCATACTGTTATTGACTGTTTTGAATAGTAGTTCTTTCACATGAAAACATAAAAATCTGCTTGAATCACTGATATCTCTTCCATTGATATTTTTTCCAAATGAGAAAAAAAATTATTTCATGCCTCAATTGCACAGCATATCACTATTAGAATCATTGTGCCAACATGAATCAACCAATAAACAAACCAAAACAAACACAAACCCCACAATGAAATACCACGTTTGTATAAATATAGCAATCACTTGAAGAGAAAAACTCAAAAAAAACATGTTTCAATAAAAAAAATATTCTAATATTTTAGACCCGGTAAAAATAAAATTAAATGAAATTGTTGTGTTTCCATCAACATGAATAACTGCGAAAAATGTCACTTCATGTTGTCATTGAAACAATCGGAACGTGGAACGTCAACAAATGAACTGACATTTGTTCGCAATTCTTTAGTTACTCTTGTGTTGACAAAGACATGCCAAAACACGAGAAAAATGTTTGATTTTACGTTTTAAAATAACAAGATTAAATTATGCCAGCACTACTAAAACCTATCACACACATGCTAAAGCAATCGTTGGAAACTGGTATTGTCCCTCAGATTTGGAGAAAATCATTTGTAAGACCAGTTCACAAAAGTGGTGTAAGGAAAAAAGTTGAGAACTATCGTGGCGTAGCCCTGCAGTGTGTAATACCAAAGTTGCTCGACGCTATGCCTTCTTACGTCAACGCCAACTGGTGCAAGAACAAGTACTAAAAGCACAACGTACGTCAAATTCAAAGACTTGTATACAAATATATACATGTGTCAATTGCTTATTGAGCGATTTTCTGTTCTCAAGAAATATTTTGAGTTCATTTTTATTAAAAAGCGCGAATAATTTTTTTTTCAATGCAAGAATTTAATCTTGTTATTTTAAAACGTAAAATCAAACATTTTTCTCGTGTTTTTGCGTGTTTTTGTCAACACAAGAGTAACTTAAGAATCGCGAACAAATGTCAGTTCATTTGTTGACGTTCCACGTTCCGATTTGTTGAAAAATTGAAATTTCTGGCGAACGGACGGGAAAAACGTGTCTTTAGTTTCATTGAAATTTTCGGACAAATTTCGGCCAAAAAATTGTTCGTCCGTCCGAAAACGTGTCCGAACATTCGGACGAAACCTTCGTACAAAACCTGTCCGTGTCCGTTGTCCGTTTGTCCGAGATAAAATTTTTCGGACATTGTCCGTCCGTCCGAACTTTCGGACGGACAAAACTTATCCGTCCGAACTTTCTTTTTTTTCGGACGGACAAATTTTCGGACGGACGGACGGACAACCTTTTGTCCGTTGACAGCTTTAGCTTGACTTCACTGAAGTCATTAATATCCCTCGATATATTTTCAAAATTAAAAGAAAAAATTATTTCATGGCTCAGAATCGAACAGCATTTCACTATTTACATCAATGTGTCATCATTTGTCATTTATCATCGGCTTTGTTACTCTTGTATTGACAAAAACACGAAAAAAAATTGACTTTCCCGGACTTATCGTTTTAAAATCAGAACGTTGATTTTTCTGCATCGGATTAAAAATATTGACGTACTCCATCGGAGGCGTTCCGATTGAGAGAGTCAAAATAATAAAGGACCTCGGAGTGGTTTTGGATGAAAAATTGAATTTTACACCACACATCGAATACATAACTGCCAAAGCTAAGTCAAGACTAGCATGGATCAAACGCTTCGGAAGAGAGTTCAATGATCCTTGGACCATAAAGAGACTCTTTTTCACATTCGTATTACCGATTATTGAATACGGATCACAAATATGGTGCCCATATACTGACGAGAAAATTGCCAGAATCGAATCAATTCAAAAGCAATTTCTACTATATGCACTAAGAAAAATAAAATGGCCACACAAGTTCAAAAAACCACCATATGAATGTCGATTGCTGGAATTGCAAATGACTACGCTCGAAGAACGAAGAAAAATTGCACAAATTTCAACAATTCACAATGTGATATGTGGACATACATCATCGAAGCAGATTCTGAACAGTATATACATTAGAACACCGAAACGTTGGACAAGAGAATCAGATTTCCTATCGTTACCAACGCGTCACAGTGATTACACCAAGTTTGAGCCCATCAACTATATGCTCATTACATACAATAAATTTTATAAATACTGTGTACCTATAAAACCACCAAATATTTCAGATGAATTTAACATTAGTACAATTCCAGTCTGTGATACTTATTTAATTGATTTCAATACAAGTACAGATACTGTTAGGCATAGAATAAATGAATATTTTAAGAGAAACAGAATTTGGAGAGATTGAAAAATTGAAAAATTGTGAAATTTTAAATATAACTTGTTTTTTATATTTTTACAAATAAACCACCTCTGGCGAAGAAACGCTATATGGTGCAGAATAATAATAATAATAATTCTTCAATAGAAAAAAAAAATTAAATTGAGCTGGACAACTGAAAATCGCTCGAAGAGCAACCTTAACATGTATACATACGTATAAAAGCTTTTGAATTTGACGTAAGTTGTACTGTAGTTACTCTTGCTAACAGCAGTTGTCGCTTCTGGGCTCGTTTGTATGGGAATTGACAACAAGGCGCTGCGTCGAGTCAATATTCGCTGTCGTGCGAATGTGTTAATAAGACGAATGTTGATTCAGTTAGTTGTGTCATAGCATTGTCGTATACATACAAGCGAAAGAATTGCCACTTTGCAATCACGAAAAATCGAACGCGTTCGGTGCCCAACCATGAATGATGCCACTAGTCACATTACTATGAATTAGGCCACTAGTCACATTACTCATACGACACACGGAACTCATTTACAACGACTTATGACCGGTTCATAACCACCTAATTTTCGACGAGCAACCGATTCAGAATACCACTGATGTAATCTTATCCCCTAGGGAAAAATGCCCTTGTTTCGACCAATGTTTTCAACTCGCGATATTCATTTTGGTGGTGGTTTTGGTTGTTATTTGGCTATAGCCAAAGCTGATAAGCGACGCAGGCAGGCATTCCTTTGCGATGATTCGAACCATTATTCTCAATTAAATTCAACAGACTGCAGCTAATCAAGCACTAATTTTGAAAATCATGTGAAGGATGCTACTTTCCAACTGTGAAGTGACATCAGTGTTATTTTATTTTTGGTTAATTAGGAACTGTCAAATCTACGCAGGTGTCGGCAGCAGCAAAACGTTCGTTCGCTCCATTGAAAGTAAATTCTAACGAATCTTTTGTTCTAATTTAATATAGTTTTTTTTATTGATTTTAAATTTGTATCAATCACATTCGATGACTTCCAAAATCGAAAAAAGTCGCAAAACTTTCATGGTATAAATTTTAAACCTAAAATTCACAAAACTCAGTGATATACACTTCCATTAGTTTTTCTTTCTAAATTTAATTTGTTTGTGGTGCTTGAGTGTGATGTTGACAAGTTTCGACATTTTCGGGCCAGTCACATACATTTTCAGATGGATTAAATACTAAATTTGCTGGACATGGCATGTGATGTTTACGTTCACCTTCACACATGTAGTAATGTGTACAATCTGATTTGTCTGGGTGATAACTAATATGACCATCTTCCTCGTCGCATGTCACCTCATTTGCTGGAAAATTGTAAACATCCATAATAAATCAAATTTATTATTATTTTCTATTGAAAATTATTATTATTTGAATTTATTATTATTCAAACAATTAGTCAACATACGGTCTTTTGTAGTGTATGCCCCTCTTGGTCCATGTGTTTCATATGGTCCATCATATTGCAAACGTACTTTATATGATTTAAGCTCTTCGTTTAATACTTTTAACAATGGATATTTTCCATTGCCACACTTTCCTGAAAAATCGTCCATATCGATAGACCACACCATGATGCCACCGAACCCATTTTCGATCAACCAATTCATCTGTGAAAGAATAAGATAAAAATAAGTAGAATTACATTCGTAATCCCAAATTTTTCCGTACCGTTGTCCGCACTTTTGGTTATTTTTTGTGAAGTTTCTTGAATAAAGGCAGTTTTCTAGTGATCGGTCACTTCAGTTAAATTTTCGACAATTTTGTATCGAAGCTATATAAATCGACTCCGATTAGCTCAAAACTTTCTGAGGTTTCATTTTTTGGAAAAAATGAGATTGTAAAAGTCTCATGCTGATCGCATTTGCACAAATTTGGTTTTTGACTCTCAATATTTTCCAAGAAAATTTCGACAAAAATTGAAGGTCAAAAACCAAACTTCTGCAAATGCGATCAACATGAAACTTTCAGATTCTTATTTTTTCTCCAGAAAATGTATCCTCTGAAAGTTTGAAGCTAATCGGAATCGATTTACGGGTACCTCCCATACAAAATTGCCGAAAAATCGGTCATTCTAGTCGAAATTTCGAAAATTTGGTATGAGAAGTATGCGTAAATCGACATCGATTGGTTTCAAACTTTCAAAATCTTATTTTTCTCCCAAAAAATGAAACATCAGAAATTTTGAAGTCAATCGGAGTCGATTCACGGGTACTTCCCATACAAAAATGTCAATTTTTTTCGGTTTTTCTTAGGGCAAGTCGAACTTAAACTAAGTTTTTCGGATACAAAACTTTTGCAGGAAAACGACTCCGAGAGTCGTGAAAAACCTGATCTTTTCGTGTTTGTACATACAATTTAATGTGTGATAATTATAATAGTAGTCCTTCTTGATTTGGTTTATAAACATTTTAACACAAAATAACCTAACCAACACATGGAAATGAGTAGGAAGCCGAAATGTAAATGGTCCAAAAAAGCCTAACCTAAATATCCAAAAAGAAAGGCCTGTGGAAGCGTTACCATTGTAGTTGCGGCCCTAATGACTGCAAAAGTCATCAATCAATTTATCAAAGAAGTGATATATTGAAGAAAAATTTTACGTCTAATCTAACAAGTCCCTGTTGGTAGTTAAAAATTTACAATTTAGTAGAGACCGAGAGACAGAAAAATACAATGAGTTTTTCAAAAACATTGACAAAAGAAAATATTGACAAAAGATATAAATGTGTGCGGTTTTCGACCGTGAGTTATTGTTCAAAAATGATGAGGCATGCCGTTCAAATGGTACTCCGTAAATTGGGTGTCGATATTGGTCGGAATGATAATTGAACCCGTGAGCATAAAAAGAACGTATTGACTCTTCGCCGATGAATACGAAACGCAAAAAAATCGCCGAACAAATTGAAACACCAATCTGTTATTGGATCAATATGAAGCATGAAATCGTTGGCTACTATTTTATTTACGTTGCGCTTTGTTTCGAAGCGCGGCAAGTGTTTCATTTTGTTTCAGTAACAGAACGTTGCATCACTTTGTTCGGCGACGCGCTCAATGTACTGTTTTGGAAAAATATGCATGATTTGATACAGTTTTGAGTCCATTGGTATATTAAACTATTCATTTTAACACAACACCCATTCTATTTCGCTCACACTTACGTGCACTTTAACGTTGCTGAAACATGTACGTTCTTGTTTCTTTACTGCGCACATCTTTTTAACAGGGAAGCAGACTACTTTGTTATACGAAGTAAAAATTGCACGTAAGTGTGAGCGAAATAGAATGGGTGTTGTGCGTCCGTGTTTTGGCCATGTATAGATTTCACTATATAAACCAATGTATTCACAGCGGCGTGAACCCGCGTTCCGAGGATTTCATACAAACTTTCCATGTAGACGATCCGAAATAGGCAAAAGTCAAAAAGAAAGTTAAATTTTTTTTTCGATTTTCATATAGTATTGTTATTATAACCATTCGAGTCGCCAAAATTGTCATTACGTCTAATGTTATTGCGCCGTTCAACAAATCGGCCGTATCCACGACGTGATCGTTGGAAATTTCCATTCCAATTCCTGCGATTTGTGATCCATGATTGTTGATGGTTTTGCTTCTCGATGGCATTGAATTTGGCCTTTGACTGTGACCATTTTGGTTTGGACGTTGATGCCGATGTTTATTTAGACCAAAACGTTGACGATTTTGTCTGGCTTTCTCTTTCTGAAATGTTCTGACTGTATAATCAGGTACACATATTTCATTATTCAGGATTTGATTATATATCGATTGGTTCAGAGTTTAGATTTTGAACGCCAAATGCTGTCTCGGTTGTTTCTTCCGTTTTCCTTGGGGTAAAATATGAACTTGAAAACATTCATGATTTGTAAGACCAGTTTTTTCCAAAACCAATTCAACGATATCTTCGGGTGTGGAACTCAACGGAAATTTTGATAAGTGGATCGAATAAACAACTGCATCGGGTGAATGTGAAACCGTTGTTTCATGACTTTTGAATTTAGTCTCCAGGTCAAACTTTCAAGCGTTTTGCCGTCCAAAAGTCGTGATGCGATATTGTTCTTCATTGTAAATAAATTTTCACAATAAAGAATGCGAAAAACACTTTTGAATTGCACATTATAAAATGGGGTAAAATATGATTAAATTTCAAAATAACCATAAAAAGAGTGTTGAAACGATTGTGGATTCTCATTGTTTCATTAAAAAATATTAGTTCCCAACCACCAAAGCTCTGGAAGTGCATTTTTTATGTATCCCCCGAGTAAAAGTTCAATTTCATACATTCAGATGCCAAAATGCCGATTTATGACCAAAATGACAACGAAATGGATATTCAAGTGTTCGTGGACTCCCATTATTTTCACGAAAAAATAGCAGTTTTCCAAGACCAAAATGTCGTTAGACTAAAGCTACCATGTATTTTCTACCAGTGTACTGAAAAAATCAGTACCAAAGCCAGTTTTTTCGCAATATCTCGGAAACGGCTGGATTTAGGCCCCAAATCTCAGCCTTCGGCTACCATCCCCATGAAATTTTCCGCCCGATCGAATGGGACTTCTCACAATTTTCCCCGATTTTCCATTTTCCTTTTATGGCGATATGTTCATTTTCAGAAAATTTTCCAGGATTTGCAATTTTCCGGGAAATTTTCTTGAATTCGTTTTCAGCTTACGATCGTACATTCATAAAATGAAAATAGTTGGAAAATCTTGGAAAACTCGGGATATATGGAAGATTTTGTAAAAATAAAATGTACTGAAAATGACCCTAAATTTATATATGAGGCCATATTTTGGCTCCAGTGACTTTTCCGGGAAATCTGATCAGATAGAAAACTTCCTTGGGACTTCCTCTTTCCATATGTGTAAACAAGAATTTGCTTCCGACACACGAATTTTTTTTACGAATTTTATAAGTGTACTGATAAAATCACACATGGTAGCATTACGTTAGACCTCTTTTTTTTTCTTTATTATTATTATTAATAATAATAAAAAAAAATAATAATCACTAATTTTGTAAGACAATTATTTTCGGGAAAATACACTTTTGCCAGAAATATGTCTATTTTAAGGTCTTATCATTGGGAAATTGTAATTTTTCGGGTAAAACATTTGCATCCACATTTCACAAGTTTTGTAAATAGCAAATTTCCACTTTCATTAAAAAAGTCTCATTTCCCCTTACACTAATCAACGGTGTTTTTGCGCGAGCAAAATGGACCATACTACGTTTTAGAGGACCTTCCCCTGATCTCAAAACCATATTCCGTTTATCTGGGTTACGGTACGACTTAGTGCATTTTGGTTTTATGTAGGTTTTTTCTAAAAATCGACGTTCTATGTACACATCGGAGGCTGTAACTTTTTTCTTAGACTAGCTAGCACCAAAAGTATTTTTTTACCATTATATTCATTATACAGTTTTTATCACATTCTTGTTACATTTTGAGTTTATTAGTAGAGAAGAAGAAAAAAAGAGTTAGTAGGTGATGGTTTTTAAGATGTAGAAGAGAAACGAATGCACGAACGGTCACGTAAAGACTATTTTCTTGAGTCGTTTTTTAAACGTATAAAGCGAATATTCAGTAGGCAATTGGTTGGCATGTTCATAGTAGAGCTCTGTACAATTTCTATAAATGCTTTTGAGTCCGAGATTGGTACGTGCTCTTTCAAATCGCGGTCTTGTGTTCGCACTCGTCGGATATCTATGGTTGCTAGTGCTGTTGACATGATATTTAGTTTTCATTAGTCCCTTTTGAATTTTGTAAATCATTAGAATATTATTGAATTTTATTAGCTGCTGAACATTAAGTATATTGTATTTTAACCGTATACTATCAGTGTTTAAGTTTTCATTATAGTATTCACGGCGAAATATTTTTCGAATGGCTACATTTTGTGCTACTTGAAGATTGTTTATGTCGCTATTGGTTGCTGTGGTGCTCCATACAGGAGATAGGTAAGAGAGATGGCTATGAATCATTGCATAATAAACCCCCGTTTCGGCCGATTGATGTACATTATTACCAAGTCGATTCATTACAGAAGCAAAACCAATTATTTTACGGCAAATGGAGTCAATATGGAGATTCCATTTTAGGTTTTCTTGAATTGTGATGCCCAAATATTTGAAAGTTTGAACACGGTTTAGTGTTTTGTTGCACATGGCAAGGGAAAACTGAGTGTTGTGTTCAATCGAAGCCCCATGTTTGATGATCATATAATTGGTTTTGTCGGCATTGGGTGTTAGCTTGTTAGCTGTGAGCCAATTTGCTATCGTGTCAAGATCTTCTTGAATTTTCCTGTTCAGTACAGTCAAATCCGTATCAAAATAAATTAGTACGGCATCATCGGCAAAGAGAATGATTACTCCATTGAGTTTGAGCTTGAAAATATCATTGATGTAGAGTAGAAAGAGCAGAGGTCCCAGATTGCTTCCCTGGGGTAGCGAGAAAGGGTTGTCATTCGAGGTCTGGTCACTGAATTTATCGTCTATGTCAACATATTGAACACGGTTTGATAAGTAGCCGCGAATTAAGTTATTCACATTACCCCTTATACCACAACGGTCAATTTTGTCTAGGAGAATGTAGTGAGGAACAGTGTCGAACGCTTTGCGCAAGTCAATGAATACACAACATGCCTTGTTATTTAGTTTGACATCGAGATTTTTTTGGATAAGGTCGAT